GGACTCGATCCCGGGACTCCAGGATCATGACCTGAGCCGAAGGCAGTCGCTTAACCAACTGAGCCACCCAGGCGCCCGGGAACACATCTTTTAATGCCAGTAAATTAAAGTTGAACAAATTAAAAAAAAAAAATCACCACCACCTGGTACAGGCAGGGACACTTTCCCGCTTTTGAAAATGCTTGTAGAATTACTGAAGTGTCTGATTACCATTACCAAAGTGTCCTGACAATATACCTTTATGGTGAACTCAGATTTTCTGCAGGTCGTATAGTAGGAATTTTTAAAAATATAAAAAGAACAGCCTGAGTCCCAGTGTTGTTGACGAAGAATGAACTATATTAAAAAGCTGAGAAAAAGAGGCGATACATGTAGTTAAGGTTGACCCCAAAGCCCAAACACAAGTCCTATGGAAATAACTGTCATTATTCTTAACAGATCAGAGGTGATTTTTTTGTTGTTGTTGCTGCTGATGCTGGGTGATTTGGACTTGTTAGCCTAACCAGGAGGAGTGAGTAGGAAATGATAGAGAAGGAAGGGATAGAGCTGGTGCATCTATAACTTTCGAATATTCACATGCAAGACTGGATAGCTTAATAATTTTGTACATTTAGCTAAGACCAAGTCACCTCTAAAACAACAGGAGATTCTAGTTTTCAAATAAGGCCCCAAAATCCTTACTAAAGGAAGAAGGGTTGGTTCGTTGTATAAGTCTCATAAATTAATGACATTGGCTTTATGGCTGTCCCCAATGGCCATTTCTGTCCATGATTTGTTTCTTCCCGAGGGGGCGGGGGGGGGAGGGTTTGTTTTAGAAAGTCTCAGAATGTGTTATAAAATACCAAAATAATTATTAAAATAATATAAGGCCTTACGTATATAGGTAGACACAAAGCCTATAATTGAGGCCAATGGGCTATTTTGCATGACTCCCACATTGTTCTCCGATACAAAAAGGACTCTGACAGTCTGAGACAGGTTAAAGCTAGAGCCCAAGCTGTCCTTACAGGTTTTTGAGTCTGGTTGACTAGAGTCAACCAGCTAAGACCTTTTTAGTGGAGAAAATGTGTATAGGAAAAGAACACATCGCTACAGGTCTGTTCATTCCATGGAAGCCTTCCACTCTGCTCCATCTCCAGCAGCAGACATTTCACAGAGCATACACCTTGGTAGATAAGTTTGCCGAAAGCTTATACAGTCCGTCAGTGTGGATGTATATGGATTTAGAGGCATCTCTCGACATGTATCATCATAGTTGTCCTTACAGCAACACACATTACTTATGGGCGTCCAGACTGTGCACAGACATTGTGCACAGACATTTCCATACCTATATACTGTCATCTGTTACAATAAATGAGTTCAAGTGATCACTTAACATGTATGTGAGACTTCTACAATGTACATTGCTTTCTTTATTGTAACACTGAAAATTAAGTGCAGGAAAGAAAAGTATCCCAGCATCTTCATGGTGTACACGTGGAATTACTTTCATTTGGGCACATCCAAGATAAACTCAACTTTCAAGAAACCTTGGCTCTTGTTTAATCATCTGTGTAAGAATGACACATATGCTTGATGACTTCGGTTGAATAGCTTTATTCTGGATCTCTCATAACTACAGCTAAATCCAAAGACCTGGAAAAGGACAAGAAAGAAAAAAGAAAAAAAAACAAAAAACAAAAAGAAAAAAATAGCGAAGTGCAAACTCATAGGAGAAAAGTGGGCTCTGGTTTCCAGGGTTGAGACAATGGGATGTGGTGTTGTGGGGGCTGCACCAGCTAGAGGGGGAAACGGGGATTTTTTTTCTTTGTGCTTGTCACATCGAAATGGTCTTTATGAATGTGAGGAGGTTTTAGAGGTTATGATTTCCTGCTTTATTTTCATTTAGACTATCGAAAGTGGCTATACATTTTGCCCATCAAAAAAAAAAAAAAATGAAGACCATCAAAAAGAAACATTTTTTTCCCCTTGTCTCTTTGGGTTATGACCCAACAGGCTATGTACCATTAATGTAATTAATTTATTTAAATTAGTTTCTAGCACACAAATGTACAGGATTTTGGTAGTTTGTCATCTTAGGTTGATTTTACTCCTCATGCTTATTTATCGAAACATAGACCAATGGTGCATCAGAGATGCAAAATTTCTTTTAGAATTCTCTTGAAAGATGGTTTGCTTTATAAAGCAGTGAAATTCTGTTACAGACAGGGAAGAAGTACAGGTTACCAAAAAAAAAAAAAAAGAAAGTCAAGGTATTTTTCCTTCTTGAATTAACTTTGAAAATAGTTTAAATAATGATTATTAAATTATTTAATTTAAGTTTGCAGCCCCGCCTGGTACCAGGCAAACGTCACCTTTTAATTATTGGGGCCCTCAGAGCCTTCCTATCGTAACTTATTTATTTAACTTATTCAGCATCTACGAAAGGTGCACTGTATAGTTTATAGTTTTTATTTAAAACAGTAGAGAGCACTGCAGTTGGTTTGCTGTGAGAACAACAGAGCAAAGTCTGTGGACGAGCAAAGACTATTCAGCCCGAACCTGTGTGTTCAGAAAACACATGTCGAGACCCTGCTTCATCAGCCCGGATGTCGGGGCTTCTTTGCAGAAACTGGAAAAAAAATAAAATTTCAAAGATCATAACAGCAAAAAGAGAGGAACCCTTACACTAGCTGCTTCCAAGAATGAACTCTGTGTGTGTGTGTAAAACAACAAAACAAAAAAGGGAAAAAAAAAAAAAGCAGAAAAAAAGGAAAAACTTTCTATTTCTAGTGAGAACCAAAGAAGGCTACCTCACTGACTTTCCATTTGTAATTTTAATCGTGTTGATGACACCAAAGATACCAAAGATTTCTTTCTCTGTGCGGTCTGCATCTTGCTTGTGCTCTTTTATAATTTTAACTGTTCTCTCTGACATATGGTATTTACAACCACAGCTCAGATACCCCACAGAAGTAATTATCTACGTGACGGGGGCTGCTAATGTGGAAAGGGATATTTTCTGTGTTTCTCTCATTTGTTCGCTGTCCCCTGCACACGTTCAGGATGCAAGTTCAGATGCTGCTGTAATGGGACTCCTTAAATTCCAATTCCAAATTGGTGAAGAAGACTGGTTGGAAGTGGCCTTCAGTCTTAGCCATGATCTCTGTCCCTTGGAGCTATCACAGTAAAGATTTCTAATGTACTGAACCATAGAGATTCTAATCAAGGAGTGGAAGCTGGAAGGGACCTTAGAAATCATTTAGTTCAACCCCCAGAGGCCCGGAGGAGTGAAACAGTTATCCAAGTCAAACAACTGTTTAGAGGCAAAGCCCAGACAAGCCCCAGTGCTGTACCCGTTGCTCGGAGCTACCTCTGCATGAGATGGGCCACATGCTGGCAGAGGGGAAGTTGGCCATCCTTTAGCAGTGAGTGGGGCCTGGGGCTTATCACTTAACATTTTCACTCCGTAGAAGTAGCCACGGGCATTTCCAAGTCTGTCTGGTTAGAAGCTCAACGTATAGTCACATAGGATCAGTTGCTTGGAAAGGTGGCCAGTCGTGAAATATTCAAGCCCATATAGAGGGGTTTTTACCCTGGAAGTATGCATCGATCCGTGTGATCACCGTTGAATCTCTGCATTACAGTGTTGCATATATAAACATTTAATTCAGTGAGAAGAGAAAGTTCCTTCTTGGTCTGTTGAGTTTCATTATTACGAATATTTTTAGGTCATATTAATCAGAGAAAGGGAGTTTGATCTCTGCACATGGGACAGTGATGCTGTTCAGCTTTTGTCCTGTTCCTCTTGACTTGTGGGTGTTGATACTTTGTTTCTACGCCAGCTCTATATTTATGAGAAGTTTAAGCCTTACATCCTTGGGTCCTTAAGGATTATTCATTGTAAATGAAAGATGACCCTAGAATTGCAGAGAAATGGATGGGCCACTTTAAGAAATGATTACTTAAAGTTGCTTCTCTCTTCCCTTCTTACTCATAAAATTAATTGGTCTTCTGTAAGTTTCTTTTGATTCCATTAAATGATTAAATCACTATTAAGATCCATTCATCAGAGTGATTTGTATGTTAGCCAGTGAATCATTCTCAGCTTTTGACCAG